ACTCCAACCAAACTCCACAAAGCAAAACTTTAGTCCAGCGCCAAATTCCCAAAACCGCAACCAAAGGCTCTGATACCACTTGTCAGAACAGAAGCGTGCAATCGATAATTCAGACCAACACGAACGAACACAAATTTAACGTGGTTCACTAACACAATGTGTGCTAGCTAATCCACGGGCAGGGGGGACAATTTCACTAATTTGAGGAGAGTACAGGTTACAAACCAAATTCCAAACGGACAAACCAAACAAACTAACCCGACTGACCTTACTACAGACTAGGGTGATGAAGAGTATTTATAGAACTCTTCTCCTAATCCCAAACAGAAAACCAAATACCTTTGGGCTAATACCACTACAACACCCGAACTATGACAAAAATGCCACTTGTGTCCTATTGTTTTCGATATTCCATTCATATCCTGAACTATATAAGTTTGTGACATTTGTGTCATGACGTCTAACGTTGACCATTAGAGATAACTGTTGACCGGACGGAAGTCAAACTATTGTTGACTTTCACTGATGTGGCATAAATGTGACATCCACCTAGATTCCACATCATTGACATGTCATTATTTAATAAAAAATTATATTAAATTATAATAGGAAAATAAAAAATTATTAAAAGTAAAAAATAAAAAATTAATTATTGGGATCTCTTCCTTTCCCCTGTCTTCGCTCCGCCTTGTCTTATGTCCACCTTCAATCCACCCTAGAAATCCCCAAAACCTTTTCATCTCGGGTGCTTCGACTCGAAAGCTTGATAATTAAAGAGATTTCCCCAAATCGAATCAATTGAGAGAACACCGACAAGGGGAGATCGCCGTCGTAGAACACCAGCTTGCTCCTCTCCACCCTATTGCTCTCGATTGTGAAATGGGAGTCTGGGAATGAAGCCTTGACCTCGCTCCCGACGTTGCCGACAACGATGATGAAAGAGCGTTTTGGCGGCCTGACTGAATGGATCAGAGAAGAGTCCCCCAAATCGAATCATTTACGGATCTGCGAGGGCGAGGAGGAGGAAGAGGAAGACGACGGCGGCGGACTGGAGGGAGGTGAATCGGTGGACCGGGGTGCGGCCTTTGAGTAAAGGGTCGGCGTCGGAGGAGATTAGGGTTTGGTGGGCGAAGGCGATGAGGAGGAAGGTGATGATTAGGTAGAGCTGGAGGTGACGGAGGCGGGAAGCGGCGGGGAGAGGGTGGAAGGGTTTGGTGGTGTAGGACTGTGGGGATTTCAGATAAGAGCGGGCGGAGGAGATGAGGTGGTATAAACCCAGGGAGATGAGCGGCTGTTCATCGCCGATTTAGGGCTTGGGGAAGAGGTTGGTGGGACGAGGGGTGGGTTAATTTTTTTTTTATATATTTTAATTATTACCTTTTTCTTATTTATTAATATTAGATAGAAAAATAAATAAAAATAAATATTAAAAATTCCACGTCAGATGCCACATCAGCACTGACTGGACTTTCTGTTAAAAACAAACCGTCAACAAAAGTCAACATTAACGGAATCATAGTTCAGGACACAGATGGAATATTTGATACAATAGGACACAAGTGGCATTTTTGCGATAGTTCGGGTGTTGTAGTGGTATTAGCCCAATACCTTTTCCCAAACATACAAGGAAAAGGTCAAAACAAAACCCAACTCCAAACCCAAACAGAATAGGCCTAAAACACAAAACTAACCCAAATCAAATTCAAGTCATATTCTAACAAAGTGTGTACAACTTTGTTAGATATTACATGAATTAACAATATATGGCTTATACATGATTGAAAATTCCATGAATTCCATCATATTCAACTTGGAATATCGAGAAACTTTTCAATGCATGATAAATATTTGACGACTAGAAAAAAATGCTATAGTATCATGACAAACCATACGATAGTTTGGTAACTCGTACATGATTCAAACCATACAATCGAACACTATGTATGTTAGCACAAGCACTCCGGAAAGGGGCCTGAATGAAAAGAAATTACAAAATTGAGCTCTAGGGTGTAAATTTAAGACCTAATTAAAGCAAACAAGAACTACATGGATTAAGGCAGTAATTTAGCGCTATCATTATCTTAGTGTACTTACATATATAGTTGTGTATATATAATGGAACAACAAAGTCCAACGTAATGATTCATTTTTGTATTGTGTTGTCTTCCTTTTCCTTCCTTTTGCACCTTTCTTTTGCTAGTTAATTAATTGTTGTAATAATATCCTATATTTAAAAAATAATGCTTTTGGTTTACCACTGAGCAGTAGCATCTTTTAGACTTTACTCTGCTGCCAGAAATTTGCTTTTGCCACTTATATATAATTGGGTTATAATTATCTACCAGCAAGCAATCTTCATTATTATTACTTTTGTGGGTCGATCTTTCATGATTTTGTACTGAACTGACATGGATAGTCAGAAGTTTAATATATATATATATATTTTTTACAATAGAAGTTTAATCATTCATTATCATGCCTACATATGATATGATGAAGTGGTTTAGATATGCAACTGATCATCAACTGCAAGCTTAATGGGGGTGTTTAGGCACATGTGTCTAAATTAATCAAGAAAATAGATCTAAATTAAATGAGATTTAGCATGGAGCTGGATGGATGGAGTTCTCGAATCCATAGAGTCTGAGTTGTGTCTCGTCCGAAGGGATGAGCAGGCAGTGTACTTCGACGTTGGGTCGTGCTTGGGACGACACAATATGAGCTTACCCGATGCGCATTTATCTTGTGACGTACTTCACAATACCTGTCAATTTTAGGGCCATGCAGTGTGTTAGCCATTCTCAATGAAATGGAAGAAGACGAAAAACTAGAAGTTCAGTGGGAATGATTTGTTCTTTGTATCTTTTTTAGTTATTTTCGAATTTTGTTATGTTAGTAACCATATTTAATATTTTATGATCATTGCTAAATACAATAACTTATTACTTGTGTAGTTATCTTTAGTGTTTTATGAAAGAAGTATTTGGTTTGTGCCGTGTCGTTCTAACACTCGTAAGGAAATATTAGGCTCATCATGTATAGACTATGTTGTGCCCGTGCTTGTGCTCTTATCCATGAATTATGGCCTGTAAAGTATACGTGCTCATGTTGAACCGTCTCATATATTTTGCGTCCGTACTCATGTTGTGTCATAATGATTTTGTGTCGTGTTGGCCCGTGGATGGTTTCACTGCGTTGGTTGTTTCTTGATTTGGCCACGTCATTTTGTTGCCTCTGGTCCGTTTAACCTGAATGTGTTGATGTATTTGACATGGGAGTGAATCCATGGAATGACCCGTGAAGCCTTGTCGCTTCATCCTTGGGTCATTTTTTAAAATTTGGCCAAGTCATAACTGTTGACTGCATGTGACGATAATCTCTAAAATTCGAGCTAAAGTAGCGGGTTTAATGGAAGTTTGAAGGAAAAGTGTAGATTATCCGTATCCACAAAAAATACATAAACAATAAGAAAGGAACTCGAACGGGCCCGGGGCAGGCCCATGGAGGAGTCTGGAAGTGAAAGGGAGAAACAGGCCGGTTAGTGGAGCCCATTAAGAAACCAATTAACAACATACAAAAAAGGATAAACGGGAACATAATGTATATATATATATATATATATATATATATATATATATATATATATATATATATAATTGGGGAATTCGGCAGGAGGTCCAATCCAAGTTAGGTATAATAATACAATATATCACAAATATACCCTTTGAATTATTATAAAAATATAAAATATACCCTTAAAACTAAATGTGCATCTTTAGCCCTTAAACATGTTTCTGGTCCGATTTGATCATCATCTAGTTTTATATTTGCTTCGGTTTGATTTTGTCCCGCCTTTTATTAGATTAGGGAATGTAAAAAGCAAATATTTATGTCGAAGATTTCTACAATAAAATTATATATATATTAGTGTAACCTTGTTTTTGTCCTACAACGTGCTTTTCATATGATTCTCATTTTGTGTTATTTTTTGTTCGATCTTATTCCAAATCGATTGATGACCCCCTTCAATTACATATATACAAAACACAATTATATTTATATCCTTAAAATGGCTATAAAAAATAATATGCACCCTTAAAACTAAAGGTGCAACCTTACTTTAGCCCTACATCTTCCTCTCCATTACATCCCAACTCTTTTGAATTTAAAAATCCTCCCATGGTCCAAAAGAAGGGTTTACATTACAAACAAGCTAAGCTTCTTCTTTTTCCACCCAAGCTTAGTGGGTTTGTAATCATAACGGGAACAGGAATCCAATGGGGAATTTTCAGGCAATAATGTAATGCAAAAAAGGGCACTGTTGTTGGATAACTCCATCAACCACATGATATATAACCCCATTGTTAGGGATATCAGCTAATTAATGGAGTTTGACTGATTACCCGTATTTTATTTCGATTCTGCAAAAGCACAAGGGCACATTTCAGAGCTTTATACAGTCAGCTCATCACTCACTCCAACAGCATCAACCATCGGATGTGCTCCTATATTTAAAAAGTCTGTACATAGCTAGCTAGCTAGTTAGTCCATTTCATAGTGATGTTGATTTGATCAAATAATGGTTTTTTTTTGTGGATTTGTAAAGCAATGTCTGTGGAGCCATGTCGATGAGAAAATGTGGTAAAGAAGTTTGGGATACTTATTAATTAGTTGGGGGTTCTTTAGATTGTAACGAAAATTGGTAAGATTGTGTAATGAATCGGCACACAACGGCCAGCCAGGCTGCATCCGCTACTGCTCCGGCTTCTCCATCCCTGTCGCCGGCGGCTGCGGCTCGGCTGGCCAGGTCGCGAGCTGGTCCAAGGAGAGGTTGACCGCCGTCGATCACGCCCGGCGCGTTCTGAGCTACGAGATGGTGGACTGCAACATTGGGTTCAAATCGACGGTCGAGATCGTTCCTGACGGGACAGGGTGCGTGATCGAGTGGGGGTTCAGCGTTGATACAGTGGAGAGTTGGACACTGGATGATTTGGTGAAGAAGTATGAGTTGGTTCTGGTATCCGCGGCCCGGAAAATGGAGGATTCGGTTGGATCTGTTGAGTAGTGGGCCTTTGAAGACGGCCCATGGTGAGCTTAAGAAGATATTGGATTGGGTCTGCTGGAGGTTCGTAAATTCAAAGCCTAGTACAAAAAGCCTTTGAGCTCTTTACATTTTTTTCAACTGAAAGGAAGTGTCTTTATACTGTTCTTCAGCTACTAGTTTCAGCAGAAGCAGAAAGACAATTTTACATACAGTTGGCAAAGTGTAGAAGCTAAAAAAATAGATATTACGACTGTAGGATAGAATTTACAGAAAGAAACTGTCACATTCAAGGCCAAGAAACAAACGTTTTGCCAAACGCAGCCTTGTGGGTTCCTAAATCTTGTAGGATAGCAGCTGTTGCACCTACTTCGCATCTGCAAAACTAGTCTACCCAACGTCTATAAAAACTTACTTATTCTTCAGAACCCAGCAGCTAGCTTCGTTTCCATCCAGTCGATTATCTCCTGGGCAATCTCCTCCCTCTCCGGTTCGAAGAGGAGATCGTGCAAGAACCCTTCGTAGAGCCTAATGTCCTTGAACTTGGAGGCGGCTTCGTTGTAGAGATCCTGTGATGCTAAGGGATCGGTGACTCTGTCAGCCGTTCCATGAAGAACAAAGAATGGAACCGTGACGGATTTGATGTTGTGCATCAAGTAGGATGAGATGCGTAGTATCTCGTGGCCCGTTCGGACTCGTATGGGACCGGTGTAGACCAATGGATCGGAGTACTTGGCCAGCAGTGCTGCAGGGTCCCTCGAGACTGGAATGCCCCTCTTGTTGGCTCCTTTGAACTGGAACCTTGGGGCGACCAGCGAAACAATAGGAGCCAGAGCCTGGAAGAAGCGAAACGTGAAGCATGATGAGAATGCGTGTTTTAGGGAGAACCACAGAGCGGGGAAAGAATCATGAACTTGTTCATCCCGGTAACAAGTCGTTGGGGAATGTCTAAGAAGGGAATCATATAACTATTCCTAGAAGTGGCAATGTTGCAGGGCAAGTAACTAGATAGATTTTGTATCGGATATCTTTAGCACATTTTTAGTTACTTACCGCAACAATTGGATGTGCAGGCTTAACACGCAAAGCAGGCGAGGTTAGCACAATGCCCTCCACCATCTCTTGAATGCGAGGATATGAAGCTGCCTGCAAACCATTATTTTCCGCGTCATTCAACAAACCCTATCTCCCATGTAGGTGTATCATATGGTAAACTTAAAGATGGTTACTTTACCTTCAAAACCACAGCTCCTCCAGTTGAGTGACCAAAAAGGAAGCACGGTACTCCAGGATTATCAGACTTTATCTTCTCCAAGAAAGCCCCCTGTTACACAAGGTGTTACAGACCAACCCTCCACTGTCTAGGAGTTGCATGAAAAGTCAATGTCGTCCAGCTAATCTGGAAACTGCACACTTAATCACGTTCTAAGAGAAATTGAAACTGCAAATACCAGGCCAGTTGAACATGCATAAAGAGTTGCGAAGAAAAGACATGCTTGAAGGAGTTGAAAGTACTGAGAAAATCCAACTTAACACAGGGCGATCAGCCGATCACAATTGAACTGAATGCACATTAGTGGGAACACTGAACTTACAGTATCTGCAACGACATGGTCGAGAGAAGGAACATATCCGTGCAATCCATCGCTTCCACCGTGACCTAAGCCATCAAAGAGACAAATGGAATAGCTAATCCAAATGAGAGAGCTTCCAAGTGTTGATTGTAAAAGACATTAGTTTTTTTCGTTTCATTTTCATTTCATTATACTGTCTCGCGATAAGGAAAAGAGTTGCATACCTATCCAGTCCATAGCATAGACTCCAAAGTTCGACGAGTTTAGCTGCTTCGCAAAGTGAGCATACCTTCCACTGCGCGTTACACAACAAACCAGGCAAGAGAAGTAACACTAATTAGAAACTTCCACAATGTCTGCATCGTCACCATGTGTAATGAGAGAACAAAAATTGCTGAATCAGGATATCGAATAGTTACCCGTGCTCGTTAAGCCCATGGATGATGACCAAAATTCCCCTGATATCACACACGCACCCACAGAGGATTCATTCGTCAGCAAAATGTTAAACACGGAGAAGACAACATTGAAAACGAGAAGCAAAACTTGTTCACCCTAAACATGCATTTGATTTTTTTATCAAACACGACTTTACTGAAACCAGCCTTCTTAGGTATCACCAGGAATATTCAATTTTTCCGGATATGGAAACAAGAAATCCGACTGAATGTAATCGCAAAGGAGAAGGATTCATCCATACAAGGAAAAGCAGTGCCCTAAGATTATAATTTTCCAACAAGCAAAAGGAATTCTCCAATTCCAATTCCAAAAATTCAGACGATCATGAAACACGCAACCAAACAACAGAATATCAACCAAGGCCCGCAGGAAACAGGGAGGGAACCTTACTTCAAATCGTCGTGAAGCGGGAACCAGGAGCGGCAGAACAGAGCATTCCGTTTCACGCCGAAGAACAAAGAGGTGCTCCACCGGCACCGAGTGTCACCGTCGACGGTCATATCGATGACCTCGGCAAGGGCTCTCCTCCGCAAGGTATCCTCCTCCTCCAGCCTCCACATCGATCGGCGCTTCGAGGAGTTGGAGGAGGCGGACGAATCCGCCGACGCAGACGAAGAAGAAGGTCGGCGGCGCGGGAAGAGGACAAGGAGGAGGGCGAGGAAGATCGATTGGATGAAAATGAGGGATTTCCTCAGGACTCTGAGGATCGGGATGATGCGATTGCTCGCGCCGGACGTCAGAGGTTCCATCTCCGCCACCGTCGACATGGCCGAGACGGAAGAAAAAAAGCGAAAAAAAAGTTTTAAGGAAAAAAAAAATAACAAAAGAAGAAAATGAGAACGGAAAGAGAGAGAGGGAAAAGGTAGAAATGGGTTTCCAGAAAATAAATAGGGGAAGGAAAACGAAGCTTGCCAGTTGCCCCGAGTCCGACCCGGTAGTACATGACGGTCCACATAATAATAACGGGCATTAATTATAAAAATGTACACCGTGCACGTGGCGTGACCTGATTGAGAAGAATGGGACCCATTTTGCGGATGGACGGTGCAGATTGATGCGGGAAAGGCGGGGAGGAAAGGAGTAGGCTGGAGGCGGGAAGATGCCGTGAAGGTGACGGGACGGCGCGTTTTCATCTATTCCTAATTTGAATTGGGCCAAGTCAGCGGACAGATCTGTTGGGCTACCCATCTGCCTTCCCGCGGCTTCGCTAACAAAATCAGGGATTTTATTAGGTGGAGTTTGAACAGACTTCTTTTTTTATTTTTTCAGTTGGACGGATCGGGTCAGGTGAGAAATCGGAGATTTTATTAGGAGGATTCTCCAGCCGTTCATCTTTGAGCTCATGCTTCTTCTTAGAACCGATCCGTTTCTCTGTTCGCTAGCTCAGAGTGAAAGTTCCAGATCTGGGTTTAGGAGAATACTCTGGTTTATCGATTTTGATAGAAATGCTTAAGATTGATCGTATAAATGATATGTTGGAAATGCTATTAAGAGCTGTTGTATATTAGGGTTTAGACATTTTGGCGGATACAAATGCTAGAATTAGACAACTTCGTGCAATCACATTCCATTGGTGGCACAATGTCATTAATTTTGTCTCACGCACATTGTTCTTATCATGCCTTAGGCAAATAATCCAAATCAAGAAAAAGAAGAATAACACTAAAGATGCCCAACGACAGGCTTGGACACTATCAAGTAGGCTATTATATATGCCGTGGGTAAAAGAGAAGTTGTCTATCAAGAAAATTAATGTTATGTTATGCAAGGTCGACTTATATATTGTGGGGGAGGAGGGAACTATTTGTTGTTTGCTAGGTGTAGCTAGGCCGTAGTGGTTGAATTGAACCTGTTAAGACAAGGTTCGACAAATGATCAAGATGGAAATTGATACAAAATATCATGTGCTTAGTGATGACAATTAAATCTAAGATTCTGGAGACTGATCGCCCAAATTCATTCATTGTGCGAAATTCATGTATTGATTGGGTATAGGTTATCCGCAAGAAAAATAATAGAGATGGAGCGTGTATAGTTTTAGTCTCTCTGTTTCATACCATATCCATATTCATACAAGGCCCACAAATAATATCTCTCTATATAGCAAAAATCTAATGTTTGAAAGCTAAAAATAGTAATTATATTATGGATTAATAGATATTGTAGGTTTGAATGTAAATTAAGAATGGCTATTAGACTTCATGATTTATTAGCTCTATTAGATTTTGTAATTAATAATGTACGTATTGATCCCATATTATAAAATCATGTATAAGGATGGGTTGCAAAAACTTTCTCGGAGCATGAAACTGGTAAGAAGCGTGAATGAAATTCTGAAAAAAGAGATAGGGATGATGATTTAGTTCCGAAACAACCAAACACATTGTCAAGCATAAAACCCGCCCGTACCCGCCTCATGCATGCCCCCCCATTAATCATTCATCCCCTTGATTTGCTTAACAACGAGATTTTAATTCGGTTCGAAAAAGTGATCAAAATATATCCGTTCATCGTATCACTACTATACCAAAACAACCATGCCGCTCCATCCTACCCTTACTTGTCATAGCAACTCTGTCGACCCTTCACTTTTTATCTTTCTTTCCATCGTGATTGTTTGCTCAACCTTATCCAAGTGACTGCAACCGTGACAATTGACATCCTATCTACACTACTATAACAAACAGCTAGCACATATATAGTTAACAGAAGGTGAATGTCGGTCGATGGATGTCTCTGGATATATAACGTCAATCTTGATAGCACTGTGCTGAATCATCGTATTGATTAATTTAATGTTGATCATCACCAGCCATGCATGCACATATTAATCCTGACAGTGCAACTGCACAGAAAATGATTTGAGCTAACATAACATAAACATATACGGTGCGGCGTGATACCACGTAAAAAGACACCTTCCCTTCCCTTCTCATCCTCATCCTCACACTCTCTTTTCTCTCTTTTCCGTGACACCCTTCCCTTTGAGTAAACTCGGCGCAATCCTCGTTTAAACTACGCTTTCTCTGTATTTTATCTTTACGTACGTAGCCATCGCCATGCATCACGAGTTCCACATAAATGTCCTCCCTCCCTCCTCCTTTTTTTTTTCCATATAAGCTGACACAAACCGTGAAAGAAAGCTAACCAACAAAAACCATGCAGAGCCTCCAAAGAACCGTGTCGGATTTTTCCTTCCACCTCACCACCAAGGAAGCAGCAACGGGCAAGCAGCTTCCGGCGGTAGGAGAGGCGGCGGCTGTGTTGGAGGAAGGGGAGGAGGAGATGGCGAAGTGCGAGTGCTGCGGGATGGCGGAGGAGTTCACGCCGCAGTACGTGAAGCGGGTGAGAGACAAGTTCATGGGGAAGATGGTGTGCGGGATGTGCGCGGAGGCGATCGGGAGGGAGGCGGAGAAGAACGGCGGCGAGAGGGAGGCGGCGGTGAAGGACCACATGAAGGCCTGCGCTAGGTTTAACGGGCTGGGGAGGAAGTATCCGGTGCTGTATCAGGCGGATGCGGTGAAGGAGATACTCAAGAAGAAGCGCAGCCAGGCTGGAAAGGCCGCCGCCGGCGCCGGCGGTGGTGGTGGGCTTGCTAGGAGCTCCAGCTGCATGCCGGCCATCGCTAGGGATCTCGCGGCGGCGGGCGGCCAGCGGCGGCAGTAAATGCATGAACATGAAGTTTATAGGATATATATTCTACTTAACACTTGAAGGTTACGGTGTTAGTGTCATATTCCTTGGAGATGTATGTTTGTTTCTGTAAACTTCCCTTTGATTGCTTTGTTGTATTAACAAATTTCACCATTGCCAAAAAAAAAAAATTATATGGGAGATGTATTATTGCTTAGTTATATGTATCATGTGTATTGTACTTCTGTCGTTTTTGGGTTGAAGGCAAAGTAATTAATTTATTCTCATTATATAATTCTTTAATTATATTAAGTCTATCTTCGTCGTTAAATTCGTCACTTTTAGGGTTTATTCTTCAAAGTTATCTATTAATTGACGTGTATAATCTAATCGTGAAGTAATGAGGAAAAGTAATTAATTTATATGTGATCACAAATACCTGGGTCACCAAATTAGACAAACCCTAAAGTACGAACCTAATTGCGAAGTAATGAGGATTGAGGGGGAAAGTAATTTATATATGGGATCGTAAACAAATGGGTCAAACTAATTAAAGATACAAAAAGTTCTCAACTTGCTCTAATAAGTTGTTTATTTCACTAATACACCATTTCTAAAATTATTAAACTTTTTCGGTAAGGTACGAGAGAATGATATATAAATTTGAGTTCGGTATTTGATATTGAAATAAACCATCATTTTGGTCTGCAATATAAAATATTACATTGGCATAACACTATGTTTAATTATCCTCCATAGATTGATATATCATTGTCACTTATAATTCAGTTGATCCTACAATATAATTTGCTAGTTTAGAATTTGAAAAAAAAATTATTTTTTTAAACTTTCTATTTCAAAAACGGTATTACTGCAACAAAACACTGGTGTATCACTAAAACTCCACAGCACTACTGCACTAGCATTAGATCTCGTCATGCTGAAGACCTACCAGTTTGCATGAATCAAGATTAATCATTGAAGAAGAAAAAATCACTCGTGAGGCCAGCTGAATTGAAACACTTGATTAGACCGTGCACATCGATCCCACCTTGTTTATTTATTTATTTATTGTTGCTCACAATTTGCTATAGTGGTCATTGATTGTGGGTTCTAAGTTGATTGAAAAGAGATACAATGATATGGTATCAAATCATGATGAAAAGGGTAAAGTAAAGTATATACTTTGTGCCCATTGTCTCCTCCAATCTAATTTGACTGAATTTTAGTGTTTGTTTGGTTTTGGTGATAGTTTGGTTGAGATAGTTACAATTAGAAATGACAATGGGTAGGTTTGGGCCGAGTATCTCGATACCTAGACCCGCCCGTGACAGGTTGGGTTCAGGTCGGGTAATTTATCATGGGGCGTGGGTCGGTATGTAATAATTTACGTGAAAAACTTTAAAAATATTCATTATTTTCATTCGAAGACCAAAAAATAAACCATAATATGATAAAATGTAGTTAAAGTATTGGAGAAAATAAGGTTTTCACTTATTTACAACTTTATTATAGCTAAAATATTAGGTAATATGAGGAAAATTCTAAGTAATTTGACTAAGATTACATGTAATTTAGTTAAGAACGGGTCGAGAATGGAGCGGGTCAGGGCAGGTCGGGTCGACGAGAGGTACCCATGCCCGCGGCCCGCCCCAAAACAGGCCAAACAGGTCGGGTAAAACGGGTCAGGTTGAAATTGCCATCCCTAGTTACAATTCATCGTTTTTTTTTTTTAATTTTCTTCACAAACAATACATGCATTGTTTGCTTCTTCCAACCATGTCCCTATATTTTTTTATGTGTGTTGGTTTTTCATACTAAATTCATGTGTAAAAGTAATTAACATTTCACTCAAAAAGTATATAACTGATTTAAATACTACAATAACTATCACAAAAACGATGTATACTACAATAAATCAAATTTCTTATATACATATATGTTATTATACATACATTAATGACAACGTATCGATTTAACTACTATCAAAACTAAACCAACCCCAGTCTACTTCTTTTCCCCTATCTCATTCCCATCTTTCAATCGTGTTCATTGATATTCTTCCCATTACACATTTGTGAGTTAGGCATTTGTGGCATTTGTGGATCATCATGATCATTGGATGTAGGAGGGAGCCCCATGTCTATGGAGAGAGGGGTTTCATTCATTTCTCTTCTTTTTAAACAATGGAATTGGAGGGGTAATAATGAAGGGGAATGGTCCAAAGGTTCCCCCAATGAATCCCACAATTTCATGAAGTTTTAAAGTGCCTTTGGGGGCTTTGGCTGTGAGCT